TTCTATGTTATCTAATTTGTTGGGATATGATTTTCCATAGTAGTTTCTCAAAATCCTTAGTATTTCTGTCTTATTAATTGTAATACCTCCTTTTTCATTTCTGACTTTGAGTCTTCTCTCTCTTTTTCTTAGCTTAGCTAAACATGTGTCTATTTTGTCTGTCTTTTAAGACAAATGGCTCTTAGTTTCCTTGAACTTTTCTTTGTCTGTTTTTGCCTCTATTTCATTAGTTTCTGCTCTGATCTTTGTTATTTCCCTTCTTCTATAACTTTGGACTTAATTTGTTTTTCTTTTTCTTGAGGTGTTAAATTAGGTTGTTTGAGATCTTTTTTTTTCTCTTAATGTAGGTGTTTATCAATATAAACTCCCCTCTTTGAACTGCTTTTGCTGCATCTCATAAGTTTTGGTATATTGTGTTTCCATTTTCATTTGTCTCAAGATATTTTTTCAAGTTTTTTCCCCCAGTTTTATTGAGATATTATTGACATATAACATTGTATAAGGTGTGCAATATAATGATTTGATATAGGTATATATTGTGAGATGATTACCACAATAAGTTAACATCCATCAACTCACACAGTTACAGATTTTTCCTTGTGGTGAGTAAAGATATTTTATTTCTCTTTTGATTTCATTTTTGACCCATTGTTCAGGAGCATGTTGTTTAATGTCCACATATATGTGAATTTACCAGGTTTTTTCTTGTTACTCATTTCTAGTTTAATACTATTGTGGTCAGAAAAGACATTTGATATAATTTCAGTCTTCTTAAATATATTAAGATTTGCTTTGTAGCCTAACATAATTTCCATGTGTACTTGAGAAGAATGTGTATTCTGCTGTTGTTGGATGGACTGTTCTATAAATATTGTCAGGTCCATCTGGTCTAACATGTAGTTTAAGTCCGATGTTTCCTTGTTGATTTTCTGCCTGGATGATCTATCTGTTGTTGAAAGTGGAATGCTGAAGTCCTCTACTATTATTGTATTGTTGCCTCTTCAGATCTGTTAATATTTGCTTTATATATTTAGGTGCTCCATGTTGGGTGCATAAAAATTTACAGTTGTTACATCCTCTTGATGAATTGACCCCTTTATTACTATATAATGACCTTCTTTGTTTCTCATTACTGTTTTGGCTTAAAGTCTATTTTGTGTGATATAAGTATAGCTACCTCTGCTTGTCTGAAAAACTCTCTCTCCTTCAAGTCTGAAGGACAACTTTGCCAGGTAAAGCATTACCAAGCATTGGTTGGTAGTTTTATTCTTTTTAGTATATCATCCCACTTTTTTTCTGGACTGTAAGGTTTCTGCAGAAAAATCTGCTGATAGTCTTATGGGAGCTCCCTTGTATATAACAAGTTGCTTTTCTCTTGCTGCCTTTACCTATGCTTTCTTTGTCTTAGTTTTAACAGTTTAATTATAATGTGTCTCAGTGTGGGTCTCTTTAGTGTCCCAAAGAGGAGAATTGCAGCCAGCATCTAGATGCAGGCTGATTAGAAGCTGGACCCTCAGGCACCAGCTGGAAAGTATGCAGTCAAACCCCTTCCAGGGAAAGAGTGGGAGATGGACATTTTTGACTGCTTCCTCTACACTGAGCCTTGTGGGGCAGGCGGGGGGTGGTGGGGAGGTAGGCATAGTACAGTCTTAAAAATTGGAGCACTAGATGTTCAGTCTAAACCCTTCACTGCTTAGGGATAAGCTTAGAGTCGGGAGTTTCCTTCCATTATATGGTGCTGTGCCAGGGGTGGGTTTTATGATGAGACTGTTTCTCAGCCTTTCCTACCCAATTCAATGTGGGTGTTTTCTCAGTTGTAGGAGTCATTCAGCTAGTTTCTGGATTTTGCTTAGAGGGAATTACTCCATGTGTAGCTGTACATTTGGTGCATCCATAGGAAGAGGGAAATTTAAGCCTCCTTTGTTGTTATCTTGGTCTGGAGTCACTCCAAATATATTTAGCATGAATGAACTGGACAGAAACATTCTCTCTTTCAGATTTTAGACACTAATGATACTTAGTATGTGACTTTAGGCAAAAAGTCAGTTTCTGTTTTGAAGGCAGAAATGACCAGGAAAGAGTATTCTACTAATTTTTTAGTGAAGTTCAGTGATGTAAAGACAACTCATCATTAAACACAAATTAGCAATTTTCACTTCATTCATTTACTTTAGACTATGCTTACAATGACATCCACTGAACTTCCCCAAGAACATAGGAGTCATAACTATGCCAGATCAATGATCTATCCAGTTTATAATTCATCTTTAATAGTACAGCAGAAGGATTATTTTTTTCATAGGATGTTGGTTGCTTTCTCTGGTGAAAACCTCCAAACACAGGAGGGTAATGTCTGTTAGCTTGCCATAGTAACCTGTTAAGGAGCTGGTACCCAAACATCTACCTATATACTGAACAGATCATTTACTTAATGACAACTTCCAAATCTATCTCCAGTTCTTTTTTCTCTCCTGAACTTCAGACCCAAGTTGGTTTGTGAGTTGCTTGACTTGATGGTCCCACAGGTACCTCCAAGTCAACATATCCACCTGAATTAAGCCATAATCTCTCCCCTTTACTCTCATTCCTGGAACTAGTCCTCTTCCTGTCAGTGAATGAATGGCATCTCTCAGACCCACTTGCCCAAGCTGGAAAGGGTACAGTCATCCTTATCCTGCCCTTCACTTCAATAACCAATCCTATTGATTCTCCTTGTTCTAGTGCATCTTCATCCTCACAACTACTTAGTATCAGCTCTCATCATCTCTTACTTGGGAGTATTACAGCAATGTGTTTATTGATCTCCCTGACATCCAAATGGCTACGAGCATGATCTTTTGAAAAAACATACCAGTGTTAAGAATTCTATAAGTCAAAGTCTAAATTCCTTACCATTTCACACAAGGCCTTATAAGATCTTTCAGCCTCCTCTCTCAGAACTCTCTTCATTCACCCATATATCACTACTAATACACACATCTTTTGCTTTTGAAGAACCAAACATTCTAGTTCCTCAAATCTTTCATTTTGTGTGTCCTGTAACTAGTTCTTTCAGCTTAATGATATACTCTTTTTTTTTTAACTGACTTCTTTCAGTATTTTTTCTTTATCTTTGATTTTCTATAATTTCAAAATATGCTTAAGTATAGTTTTCTTGGCATTTATGCTGCTTGGTGTTTTCTGAGCTTCCTGGATCTGTGGTTTGGTGTCTGACATTAATTCGGAGAAATTCTCAGTCATAATTGTCTCAAATATTTCTTCTGTTCTTCTCTTGGTATACACATTAAGTTCTTCTCTTGGTATACACATTATGTGTATGTTACACCTTTTATATTTGTCCCACAATCCTTGGATGCTCCATTCTGTTTTTTTTTTTTTTTTTCAGTCTTTGTTCTCTTTCCTTTTCAGTTTTGAAGACTTCTATTGATATATCTTCAAGCTAGGAGTTCTTTCCTCAGAGGTGTTTAGTCTACTAGTAAGCCATCAAAGACATTCTTCATTTCTGTTACAGTGTTTTTTGATCTGAAGCATTTCTTTTTGGTTCTTTCTTGGGATTCCTATATCTCTGTACTTACATTGCCCATCTGTTCTTGCTTGCTGTCTACTTTATCCATTAGAGCCCTTAGCACATAAATCATAGTTGTTTGAAATTCCCACTCTGATAAATCAAAATCTCTGCCATGTCTGGCTTTGATGCTTGCTCTATCTCCTCAAATTGTGTTTTTTGCCTTTTAGCAGGCCTTGTACTTTCTTCTTGATAACTGGACATGATGTACCCTAAAAAGGAACTGCTATAAATAGGCCTTAGTAATGTGGTGGTGAGGTGTGGGGAAGGGGAAGCCTTCTGTAGTCCTATGATTAGGTCTCAGGCTTTTAGCGAGCCTGTGCCTCTGCACTGTGAATTTCACAAGTGTTTCTCAGTTTTTCCTCCCCCTTTAAGTGGGATAGGATGGCTAGAGTGGGCTTTAGTTGGGTATTTCCCTTCTTCCAGGTCTGGTAGGCTCTGATAATACCCCAGCTGGTTAGGTTCTGGTTAACTAGCTTCTCCTGAGGGCAGACCTTGTTTAAAAAAACAGAGTGCTCTGGTGTATTTCAAAATGGCTCCTTTTCCCCTCCCCGTGCCAGAAGAATGAGGGGGGTTTTGTCTGATATTTAATGTGAGAACTTGGTCTAGCTCCCAGAGGTAAAACTCCCTAAAGTGTAGGGTTGCCCCCTATAACTGGGTCCCCCCAGAGTTTTTAACATCCGGACCTGTCCTCACTGAGGCTCCAGCAATTAGTTTCCGGTTTTCCTGCCCCAGCACAGGACTCTGGCAGTTTCCGCTCATGAGTCTCTCCAGTAAGCTGTGTGTTTGCCTGTCTGTCTCTCCAATCTTCAGGTCAGCAGTTTGCCCTGTGTCTCTTACAGATCCAAGAAGAGTTATTGATTTTTCAGACTTCAGTTTTTTTTCTTGTTGTTACGATGGAGTGGTGACTTCTGAGCTCCTTACATGCCGAACCAGAAAACTATTCTAATAATATCCCAGAAATTGGTAAACAAGTTCATTTTTACACTATCCGAATGCATCATGATTTTATCAATTCAGGTTTATCCTCTCTCAGTCTTCATTTCTGTCTGAAGAAGGCTATAAGTTTTTAGCCACTTAGGACCATTGCCAAGTCTTCACCTACAACTTATCTATGTTCCAATCACAATAAATACATCACTTCTGATCAGGGAAACCACCCTCCCTTACTTCCCCTCACCCTCCACTTCTCAGTGCCCCAGCAATACAGGTAAAATCTGTCACTTGTCCATGCTAGAGCTAATAGTGAGTATGCATCTAATAAGAGAAAAAAACGGAGATCTAGACCACCACAAATACCTGTCTCCCTTCTTATACGCTCTATTCAGCATCCATGTGATTACCCTCAAGACCTTACTTCTCCCCACTCCCAGAAGATTCCTGAGTGGAGGAGAGCATAGAGGAGGAGGGGGCAGGGATCCCAGTGCTCACTCACCTCCGAAAGAGCTCTCTGCAGCACACATAGGTCTCATAGGTTCGACTGGTGAAACTTGTGTTTAGGAAGGAGACACAGTCAGTTTCAGCTCCCCTGGGGACATAGAGGATTCCTGGGTAAAGGAGACAGAGATGCTAAGGGGAAGCTCTTACACATGTTCCTTAAGGCTCTTAATTCTTTGGGTATAAATTGAGAACACTGTAGATTTGGTGCCTTTTCTATGCATATGTGAGATGGAGAGTTAAAACAATATTCTGAGACTAAGCTGAGACACTTACCTGCCACACAGGCGCTGATAAGGGATACACAGGCCCCTGTGAAGAGGGCACTGACCACAACCTTGGACAAGTCACTCTTCCGGTGGGGCACCATTGATGCTGCGGACAACACAACAAAATAATTCAATCTCTTCCCCACGAGGCAATTAGGCATACCCCATGAAACCCCATTAGAAGGATGCTGAGGATCAAAATGCAGCAGATGAACAGCATTCTTACCACCGACCACCAGAGGCTGGACAGTGGTACCCTAAGAAGTGTGTATATTCATTAGTCCTAAGGGGTCACTAACTTAGACATTCCCCAGGTCAAGGATTGTGTGTCTGACCCTAACTATTTAGTGGTTCTGTGAACATTCCCAAGATATATCTGAATTAAGCAAAGCCCTGGGTTGCTCCAGACAGGTGAAAATGCCTTGGGTGTTCACTAGTTGAAATCTGCATTCTTAACCTGGACAGAATTAGACTATTTTGAGCCAGAGAAATAAGGAGGGCAACATTCACCTAAGCCTTAGTCACATGACGCATATCCCACTACTGGATGACAAGCTCACAATCAGATTGTAATCAGGCATCAGACTTAGAATACAGGGACTTTCCTGGGGGCGCAGTGGTTAAGAATCCGCCTGCCAATGCAGGGGACACAGGTTCGAGCCCTGGTCCGGGAAGATCCCACATGCCGCAGAGCAACTAAGCCCATGTGCCACAACTACTGAACCTGCGCTCTACAGCCCGTGAGCCACAACTACTGAGCCCACGCGCCACATCTACTGAAGCTTGCACACTCTAGAGCCCGTGCTCTGCAACAAGAGAAGCTACCACAGTGAGAAGCCCGCGCACCGCAATGAAGAGTAGCCCCTGCTCGCGGCAACTAGAGAAAGCCCGCGCACAGCAACGAAGACCCAACACAGCCAAAACTAATAAATAAATAAACAAAAATAATAAAATAAATAAATACATTTATAAAAAAAAAGAATTAGAATACAGACAAGTGTTTAACAGAAGGGAAAAAGATAAACTGAAAGGAAATTGTTTTACCTTTAAATTGTTCGATCAGCTACCAAGTGAATCAACTTAATGATTCTAGCCCAGAATATGAGTGCCATAAAAAATGGACACACTGAGCTGTATTTTTCTTACACTTTATTTCTCACTTGGATCTTCCAAACTCTTGGAATCCCCTGCCTTCAAGGACAATTCCACTTTCCTCATATTATTTCCTCCAGCCATCACCATTCAGCAAGATTTTCAGCAATCTAATTGTATCTATGTATGCTTCACATACTCACTCCTCCCACACCTGGTGACTTGTAGCTTTTAATCCAACACTTCACACCACTTGCTCTAATTATCTATCTGCCTTATGTGTCTGCTGCTTTTATTTGTCCTTTGATTCCTTGTGCAATGCTTAATTCTGTGAAGTCAACTGGTGCGCAGCATAATTTCAGAAAGTACCTTCACTACTGAATAAAAAACAAAATACCTTTACTATATATGCACTATGTCCATTTAATGGCAAAATAAAAATAATATCATTATAGTCTTCCTCATAGGGAAAATAAAAATAAGATTGGTCTTTTGGGCCTCCATTTGAAAGGGAAAAAAATGACAGAAGTTGAGATTGCAAACCCAGCCTGGGCTTCATGAATAGTCAGGTAGCATGATTACCTTAACTCCAAATTAACTTTCACCTGAGAGGCCCATTTCACATCAGCTTCTCTATCTGGTCTCAACTCATACTGAAGCACCAGGAGTGCCCACTACAGATGCTGGGAACTGGCTGGCATATTGGGTAGCTGGGAAAATGAATTAACTCACTCAAGCCTCCCAGTGTGATTCCTATGGAACTAAGATTGGCAAATCCACAGAGTGAAAATGTTGTAATGATTTCGGCTCTCACCTAGGGAAAACAAAAATAAATAAGTAAACTCAGTCCTATATGTGCAGTCGTATAATCATGATAGACGTTCCAGAGCACTTAGAACCCCCAATCTTGTGTGTGCTACTCTAAGGAATATGGAAAGGATGCCCAGAAAATAATCGCTTCATGAGTTATTATAGGGATAATGATGTGGAACCACCATGGCCTCTTTACCCAATGCTCTTCTTGTTGAAGCCTATGAATTAGGAGGTCTAGGAATGAGGATGATTGAGAGAAAAGAGATAGAGGGAGAGAAAAAAGGAGCGCAGTTTATAGCAATTTAAACTTATAAATGAAGAAGGAGACCTTAGACTATCAGAAATAGTATCCTCCTTGGACTGTCCCAACTGTAAAGGCTCAGTAATTACATTCTAGAGAGAAGTTGGGTCAGAGTGTAGGGGACTAGCACACAGACCTCAGGGCAGCTCAGGCACCGAAGCTAAGCACACTGTTACTCTTGCTTTGTGGTCAGGCCTGGGACCCTGGAAAGGGATCTGTGGGTGTTAAACTTTAGTGTAACACCTTTTGTCTGCCTGGACTGTTTATGCTTTTCTAGATTGTCACTTACAGAAATCCACTGTTTCTCGCCTCCAATCCACTCTTCCACTCCAGAGAGACGTTTGTTTTTGTACTGAGACAGTTGCTGATAGGCCACAAACTCATTTGTGAAGAACTTGATCCCCACCATCTCAGCCACCATCGGACAGTCTGCCCACTCGACACCCATCATGAAAACCACGGGCCTTAGGATATAGGAGCAGATGACCTGGGTGAGAGAGACAGTCAGGAGACAAAGACTTCTCTATAGCCTTGACTCAGTCTCCTCCACCCTTCTCCTCTCCACGCTCCCTCAGTGCACTGTGGGTCAGGAGGACATGCACAATTCAAGGACTACTTAAACACACCCTAGAGGGACAGCCCAACAAATGGAATCCTTTACCTGAAAAGTGAGTCCCTGTATGTCTACCAGTTCCCCTAGCCAGGAGAGGGCAGCATTGATGAAGGCCAACACGGCCAAAAAAGCAATCAGGTTGGCTGCTACATTAGCAGCAAGGCCTATGGCATCTGTGGCTCCATTGCTGGCAGCTTCCAGAACATTCTTCTCCTTCCTGTGGTTATTGGGCATAGGGGAAGAATACGGTGTCTAGAGTAATCTCTGCTCCTCAGAGAAGGGCTGTCCCCGTGTCCCAGCAGTGCAGGAGTGCAACAGGAGAGTGCAAGAACAACTTGAGAGATGATGGGGGTTCCTAGTGACCCTTTTTGTGGAAATAACACTGAAGCAGAATCAGATTTAATCGCCATGAAATGGTACTGACACAAAGGACAGAGGATAATGGCATGCAGAAGAGAGAGGCAGGTGGGAGGGTTAAACAAAAGAAAAAAATCAACATGATTAGCTAAAGGCAGAGGTAGACAAGAGGAGATATGGAATCATATTATTCCTTCTCCAGGAGACTTGAAGCCGCTACCACCGTAGCACCACTCTTGACTCTACACCTGACCTCACCATCTCCCAAATTATATGCCTCATTGGACTCACCCACGGGGCAATTTTACCCCCTCCTTATTCTTGAACTTGGACTCCTCCACTTCTGGATATACCAGCTTTGACAAAGCAAGAGCAGAAGGGGCAGCCATCACAGAGGCAGAAATCAAGGATGACGCGTCAATCTGTAAGGCCAGACTTAGGAATGAGCATCTACAGAATCCAGAGTTGGGCTCACCCAGGAGTGATCAAACAGACTATGCTTACCCCAAAGGATATGAAGGCTCCCAAGACAGTGCCTGAGATGGTGGCAAACCCTCCAGTCATCACTGCATGGACTTCTGAAAGCGTCATGTCTGCAAGGTATGGACGGATGAGCAGAGGTGCCTCTGTCTATAAAAAAGGAGAAGAGAGTCAGATTCAAGAAGGTACAGCTCCCCATCCCAGAGTGCCCGCCCCAGCTCCAGACACACATCCCTCCGGTGTGGGTGCTCTTCCAAAACTAAGCTCTGCTCTTAGGCTCTCCCAGTGTCTGGCTCACCCCCTCTGGCACATAATCATATCCTGGCTAGCACTCTTCTCATGTGTTTTCATATCAGTTTGTCTCATCTATTTAAAATTTAGAATGGTATAGAAGACAAACAGTATATTTCTTTTTTATGTTCTCAATGTCTAAAACTATATACTCGGGAATTCCCTGGTGGTCCAGTTGTTGGCACTCCGCACTTTCACTGCCAAGGTCCGGGATTTGATCCTTGGTTGGGGAACTAGGATCCCACAAGCCACGTGGCGTGGCCCAAACAAACAAATAAAAACTATATACTTAGTGAATGAATTTAGTATAGTGTATTTACTGAGTACATATTCATTGCTTAAAAGGTACTCATTAAATGAATTGCAAATAGATTACTGAAGCCCAATGTTGATGAAAGAATCAAAAGAAATAATGTTTGTGAAAATGGTATGAAATTATGAAGACCCAACTATGTAAAATATATCTAGCATTGACCTAAGAAATTCTTATTATTTAATGAGTGACAACTATGTGCCTAGTGCTATATGATATGCTAGGGACATTCCTATGAATAAGGCAAAGTTCCTACTCTTAGGACTTTATAGTCTAGCAGAGGAAACTAAGCTGATTATGGAGAATTTCAGCAAAATGCAGCATGCTATGGTAGAAGTGTACAGAAGTATTCTGAGAACATGTCAAATACCATTAATCAGCCTGGGGTCTTAGGAGAGAAAGACCTCAATACTAATTCCTTGTCAGTTTGACAAGCCATTGTCCCTAACATTGAGTTGATCAGTCAGTAGCATATACTGAACACTTACTCCATACAGACAAATGTATCAAACAAGTATTATGGGGACAAGCTTTGGTGTTAGCCCTGAGCAAGGCAAGCTATTGTCTCCTCAGAGATCCTGGAAAACAAAGGTCACAGGAAGAAACCAGAATATGGAGGAAACATCTTTCATAGCCCCTGAAGGGGGATGACTTGGACCAGGCCATTTCCCTAAATTCCTGTGTAAGAAGTTGGATCTGTGGTTAAGTATGTCCCCATTACATACACCCAAATAAGTATTATTAGGTAAGAAAGGTGAAAGCAATGAGCTGAGTTCCAAGTTTTCTTTCATCAGAGTGACTGGCTGCCCATACAGTCTTCATCTATTTGACTTTTCAAAAGGAAAGCATACATTTCTCAAACTGTTTTCTGCCATACTCTCTGTTCCCCAGAGAAAAGATCAGAAGGCCTCAGGGTGCTTACCATACCCACAAAGATGTTTCCTGCCACAGCCAGGGTCTCTGGGGCAGTGGTGCCCATGGTGATTTGCAAAAACCAGGCAATCTAAAGGGATGCAAAGATCCAAACCAGTAACATTAGCAGAAATCTTGGGGTGTATCCATCAAAACTCCTCCTCCATTATGTTGGTAAGGAAACTAAGGCCTAGAGAAGAAGAGGCACAAGGCCGAGACCACAAACCAAGTTACAAACAGAGCCTGGACCAGAACTCAGGACTCTTGGCTTCCAGAAAAAGTAGATTAAAACTCAGTATGAAATGGCAGTTCAGCCCATTTTTTCTCCCTGCTCTGCCCCTCAGCCTGCCTAGGGCCTGGTCCTGACCACCTGATATCAGGCACGCTTGAAAGAGTTTGCTTTCACACTCCTTCTAATGCTCTAGATCTGACATATGATCATTTTTTCCCAAAGTAAATGCCATCTTCATGTCTCTTGATAGATCACAAGACAAAGCCCCACCTCCTGACTGTGCAGGAGAACGACTCACCTTCTGAACTACCCACTGCACAAAGCCCAGGTAGTAAAGAATGGACATCACACATCCAAAGAAAAGGATGATCGGTAAGGCCTATAATGAGAATGATGGGGCAACCAGTGAGATACTACACTGAATGTGCAACTGTGTGCCATAAGGAGACTGTGTTTCAGGTCTCTAAGTTAAGTTCTTAGCATCCCAAGCACAGCTGATACAGTAATAGATACTCTGGATATTTAAACACAAGCTAGTCTAGGAATAAATTTTAAATGTATTGCAGATCTATTATGCCGTCAATACTAAGCCACAAGGAGATGTTTTCTGAGCCTTCTTCTCCCACCCCTATTTCATTCCAATTTCAGTATGACAATGATCAAAGGGCAAGAGATTAATGCTGCTTCCTATATGGATAAGATCAAATCCTCTTCTTACGGTCAAATTGGTATATAGACTGGCTGATATCTTGGACACACATCTTCGTCATCTCGCTTTATCCCCCTCACCCTCACTGCCACTGACCCTCATTCTTGCTCATGAAACATATGACCTGAAAAGCGAAGATATCCTTGACCAGCATATCCCCAAAAACAAAACTGGAACCAGCCACAGTATAGTTGAGAAAAATCTGAAAAAAAAAAAAAAAAAAGAGAGAGAACAAGAGTGAAGCCAGAAAGGACACAGGGAAGATAGGATCAGCCTCATGTATGATGAGGACCTAGTGCTGCTACGGAGGTTGGCCTCCCTTTGACAGCATGGGAAGCGGCCTAAGTCACTATGAGCTACTCATTGAATGACAGAGGACTCAGCTGTTCCGTTCTCTTTATTTGTATGCATAGTTGTACCCCAGTATACTCTCTCCTTTCCCACCAGATCACCCACCACCATCACTAACAAGACACAGCCTGATCTCCTCATGCTTTCCCCCAGTCTCCTTTCTCTAGGGTTCTAAAAGAGCTCTCATATTCAATTTCTCATACCTGAATCTGGTTTCCCAGCCATTGAAATGCATTAAATCCAGGATCAGTTCTGATGACCAAGATCCCAAAGACAAACTGAAGACCTAGGCCCCAAAGCACTGCCTTCCAGGACACCTGGGACCAATAAGAATGTTATTCTAATGTGAGCTCTAAACCCGACTTGTTCATTACTTGGCTGGGGTTTTAAACATGGGTACGTGTACTCTGGAACCACCTTAGCAGGTTAACAGTAAATCTGGGGTAAGATGGAACAGGGAGCAGGGGGAAATAGGGCAGTAGTATATAAAGAGCCACATACGTCTATGTGGTTTTCAAAACTATGCCTACAGGTTAGACCTCACGCACAGACACATGCACACATACATATAAAAGCACCATAAACCACTACTTTAATATTACTATGTGCGATGCAAGCTCATTCTCTATTGTATTCTATTTTCTTTCTTTCCTTCTTTATTTTTTGTTTTGTTTGTTTTTTCTTTAACACTGGTCTGGATCCACAAAATTGATATCAAGGCTCACTAACGGATCACAACCTACAGTTTGAAAATAAATGGTCTAGGGCCTGTGAGAACTTTAAACTTCACTTAGGGGCAAAATTGTCAAAGGGGCCAATTCCAGAGATTGTTAAGAACTTAGTTCTATGCCTTTGTAATAAATACTTGGCTCATGCACTTTGTAATTAGTAACACATGGTCCTTGGCTAGGTATTACTATGCCCACCCTCCAATACCCAAAACTCACTGCACTGTGGTGTTTGGAGCAGGCAAAGAGGATGAGGGTGAACATGCAGATTCCTGCGAAGGAGATCAGCTGCTCTGGCCTTTGGGCTGTGTCTAGAGCCAGCCACAGGATAAGGCCAACCAAGGAGACTCCCGCGAACACACTAGAGAGGGAATTTCAAGACCGTGTCATCAAATCAGTGAGTGAATAAGAAATCATTAACTTTACCTCTAAAAAATAGAAATTCACCACAAGGATAAATGAAACAACCCAATAGATTAGACACAGAGACATATCATTAGAATCATTCATCTGGTGGTTTCCCAGTTAACACCTCTCCCCTCCCCTCAACTCTTACTCACAGAATGAAGCTGAAAGAGTCCAATCTAAGGGCATAAATCTCATGACCTCCTTTTCTTCAAGTTATCGTATCAGTAAGATGTGATATAAAGACTTATTCTTCAAGAATGTTCTAATGCATAACCAAAATATTTTAAAAAGAAGGAGGAAAAGTCCTCCCATGGATCTCCACCCACTTTCCAACCACTCCAAGGGCAAGAGTAAAGGCTAAGCCACAAATCAACTACTTAATGCCCTGTGGTCCCTTGATGTACCAAACAAACATGCTTGATCAATACATAAACTAGTCTCCTCATGTCTGAGTGTTGGAGTCATTTCAGTTCAAGGGAAAAGAATTAGAAGGTGAATCACATATGAAAAGAAAAGAAAACAAAAAGAGTACATTGTCCGTTGAGATGCCATAGGAACAACGATGACGACGACAGAAGGGATTACAGGTCAGGGTTGAATTTTGGAGCTGTTCTCACTGTGAACTCAAAGTGAATTAAATCTGTCTTCCATGGATAACTAATAAGAACGTGCTGTATAAAAAATTTAAAAATAAAATTAAAAAAATAAAGTAACATAAAAAATAAATAAATCTGGCTTCCAGAATCCATCCTGTTAATGAAGAAAGTCCTTTCGCTCTATCCCTCCAGTGTCAAATAAATCAATGATCCAAAATTTAGGCTGTAGTCTGGTGTGTTTCTCCAAATGATCACTGTTGCAAACATCCTGAACAGCTAGTTTCTGTGCATCCATTGGACAAAAGGCATAAAAGTGGAACATACAGAGAGTCTGAAAGTTATCCTCTCGCCCCAGGCGTGTGATCAAAGGACACGTGCATGCCACAGTTAGTTAGATGAGGTGCGGCTGCTGTAGCATCCAGCTCAGTATACACTGAACAGTGAGTTTGCTCCTTAAACTCTAGGGAATTATAAGACACCAGTTGGTGCAGGAAGTCTGGAGGACTAGAGGGAAAAAAAGCACAAAAAGCATCCGGGAACTAAGGGAGAAACACATGACCACCAAATCAATTTGATAGTTTAATGCTGCTATAAGCCTCTTTGCCTTGATTTCTTCATTGAAGAGGAGTATGGTTTTTCTCATTTCTGATACCAGCCCTGACAATAAACAGACTGAAACTCTTCTCTGAAATGGAACCCCTCCTGCCCCCTAGCAATATTGAGACATGAGGCTATAAGAAACTGGACTAAGTTCAGTGTTCAGAGGCCCATTGCTATTTGCTCGCTGAGCCTTGTTTTTTTTTGTCTTTTTTTTAACATCTTTATTGGAGTATAATTTCTTTACAATGGTGTGTTAGTTTCTGCTTTATAACAAAGTGAATCAGCTATACATATACATATCTCTTCCCTCTTGCGTCTCCCTCCCTCCCACCCTCCCTATCCCACCCCTCTAGGTGGTCACAGAGCACCGAGCTGATCTCCCTGTGCTATGCAGTTGCTTCCCAGTAGCTACCTATTTTACATTTGGTAGTGTATATATGTCCATGCCACTCTCTCACTTTGTCCCAGCTTACCCTTCCCCCTCCCCGTGTCCTCAAGTCCATTCTCCATTCTCTAGTAGGTCTGCATCTTTATTCCCATCTTGCCCCTAGGTTTTTTGTTTGTTTTTTTTAGATTCCAACTCTATTTACAATAGCCAGGACATGGAAGCAACCTAAGTGTCCATCAACAGATGAATGGATAAAGAAGATGTGGCACATATATACAATGGAATATTACCCAGCCATAAAAGGAAATGAAATCGAGTTATTTGTAGTGAGGTGGATGGACCTAGAGTCTGTCATACACAGTGAAGTAAGTCAGAAAGAGAAAAACAAATACCGTATGAGCCTTGGTTTTGTAAAATATAGGGGAGGGTCTGAGAGACAGCCCAGGAACCGTCAAAGGAGGAAAAGGGTAATGGATTGGGGTTTAAGACAAGTTGTGGGATGAGGGATATTGAGATTCTTATCTTACCGTTTCATCCAAAGCTTCAGGCAGGAGTTTTCAAGGGGCTTCAGACATCTCGTTAATTTTTCACCAAAGAACCTTTTCAGAAAGCGGTGAACCAGGACTAAAAGCACCAAACAGGTGAGGACGAACAAGGCCAGTGCCCTATGGAAATTCAAGATGCAAGCTGCCAGGAAGTAGGCAGCATAAGCTAAAAAGAGAAAGTACAGAGTAAGGACCAGCAAGGCAGAGCCCCTTAGGACCAAATGAAGATTTAGTCATGAATGTCTGGGACTTAAGGCAGGTAAAACCCTCCAGTGACCTTACCACCCATCCCTGTCAGACTGAGATGCAATTCTCAAGGCCAGGATAGATGGCTAACTGTTTTCTTGGGGTATCCCAAGGAGGTACCAACTTAGTTTGAATGCTGCATATTTTCACTTGACCCTGATAAAATCTCATTCCCTTGATATTCTCTTTCTATCCCTGGAAGTGGATTTGATCAGCACCCACCTTTATACTCTTAAAAAGTCATCTTTTCTCAAAACTTTACAACCCCAGTCATTTTAACCTTTTCTCTTCAGCAGAGCCATTCTTCTAGTAAACAAGGCTAGTACTAGGGGGTACAGCCATATGGTTCTCATTCCATGGTCCCTTGACTCACCCCAAAATATAATTTTTGTTCTCACTACCCCAGCTGCCTCTAATATTCACATCAAAGTCCCATACGTCACTGACGGTATATTTTAAATAAAGGTTTGCTATCTTTTTTTTTTTTTGGTCATGCCCCGCGGCTTGCAGGATCTTAGTTCCCCAATCAGGGAATCGAATCCGGGCCCCAACACTGAAAGCACTGAGTCCTAACCACTGGACCGCCAGGGAATTCCCAAGAGGTTTGCTATCTTTTAAAAATATTTTATATCATTGATCTTGCCAGTAAACCAGCAAATAAGTAACATACTACAGGCTTCTTTCACAGACTTCAAGAACCATGCCCCTCATCTAATCAAGATACTAAAAAAGAGACAAGCCCAGATTCTCTGACATATTTAAGTCTATCAAATAGTACATTTTGAAAAATAGCTTATTCTCAGAAGTGCAGCTTATTTACTTATTCCTAGAAGTGCAATTCTATAAATTACAGCTCACCTACAAGTAATTACGATCTATACATCATATAGCCCTTTAGATCAACTTGTGAATAAATCTGCTTTCCATCTAGTAATAATCTTGACACAAGGTCACATTTCTAAAACAACTGTGTCTCTCACTTCCGCGTATCCTCAATACCTTACCCAAACACAACAGGCTCAGCAGGACCTTCTTGAACAAGGCAGCATGTGTCTTACAGAAACTTCTTGCCCTGGTGAAAGGCTGTAGGTTCCTCCTGATGAGAATCCAAAAGTTAAGAACCAAAAATTATTCCATCCCATTTATATCAATTCCCAGAACTTAGATTGCCTGGCCTGAGGAAGAGTTTTCTCTTAATGAAATTCATCCTGGGGAAGTTAGGTAGTGTTGTAGCGATGCCAAAAAGGCCAGGTCAACCTTGTCAATGGGTAGCAGGTCAGAACACTCCTACCCAACCTGGACTAGCAATATCCTCAGTAATTTCCTACCATAGAAGGGAACACTGGTCACATCAGGGAGAGACTACTGGGACCTACTCCTTCCTGTTCCCTAGGGACGAGGGATTGCTCAGCTTCCAGATTCAGAAAAGGGCCTATTCTTCTGAGAGAAAATAAAAATCACATAAACCCATAACCCTGAACAGTCAATCAGATATGAATTGACAGACTGGATGGAAAACACTACCACCCTCAAGAATCCCTGGGTGAGAGGGCCTGAAAGAAGGTGCCCAGCAAGTAGAACTTTTCAAGTTTAATTTATCAAACATTTATATAGTGCTTTCTATGTGCTGAACTCTTTCTAAGAAGTTTAAAAGTACTAACTCATTGACTCCTAATAAGAACTCTTGAGGTGGCTACTATTATCATTCCCATTTTACAGATGTGGAAACTGGAAAACAGAGAAGTACCTTTCCCAAGGTCATGGAAGTTGTAAGGAGCATAGACAGAATGTAAACTCAGGCAGTCTGGCTTCAGAATCTGAGCTCTTAACCATCTTCCTTTGCTGCATCTTACCCAGGTCCCAGGCTCGCCTGTCTCTGTCACTTTTAAATGTCCTCAGCACACTGAAGTCATATGAACAAAAAGCTCTAATTTCCAAACTCTTAGAAGCTCCAAAGAAGGTGAGCCCATCAAGAAGCCCATCATGCTGAGGCAGGACAGCTTAGCCAGGGCTGGGAGCAACCACTAGCTCCAAATGCCCTGGAGACTTAGCTCACAGATTTCCATGGCTCTTTCTCCATTGCTACCTCTCCCATCTAACACACTCCCTCCTCTTCTTTATACAAAGCCTTCCTTTTCACTCCTCTCTCCTTCTCTTTATTTCTTCTTTCTTCAAGGACTCCAACCCTTTGTGTTAGTTGAGTAGAGTGTGTATTATCAGATATAGGTGATAGGAGAAAACATTCTTTATCACCACCTGACTTATCAGTTCAAGAGGACGCTTTAGGATCTCAAGAACTCTGCTACCTTTCCATGCTTAATAGAGAAAGTAGTGAGTAAAAACCATTGCTGAGAGGTGTCAATGTGCCTGAAGGATGTCAATATCTTTGGAATATCATTTGCAAAGTATGCCAAGGAACTAATGTAATTTCAATCCTAGACTTCCCATGTGTGCCAGATATCTTTGGTTTGCCCCTCCAGATCCACTCTCTATCTTGCTCTGTGCCCTGGGATTCTAACCCATGTGGACTGCCTCAGTGGGATTACATAACCCTCTGGATTATCTAGTTGGGGTCTACCAAGAGGATCCAAAAGGAGATCAGAGTGGATGAAAAGACTGAGGTCAGCATATTGAAGTCTTCTTTATCTGACTCTCCTTCTGGGTTCTCTTATATCTGGTCCCTTGCCTAGGAATAGTAACTGTTCATTGCTTCTAGCCTCAGGTTCTTGCACTATTGTTTCTTGTGATTCCACTACATCTTGCACACACCCCTGTAATGGTCTCTCCGTAAATAAACCCCCTCTGTAAATAAACCCTTCTCTAATTATCCTAATTTAAGTATTCCGTCTGTTCCTGTTAGGACCCAAACTGATCTATTAGGTGAAGCTGATTTAAAATCATACCTAATCAAATGCCAGTTCAGCAAAGCCATTGCAAAATGAGAGGGGACACTCACTAGTCCAGGATAAATATAAACCACACACCTAGAAAAGATTTCTGCCATTACCTCATGACCACATTCAACCGTTCCCTGGGAACTAAAGATCAGTGGGTACTACCAGAAGTCAGTGAAGAGCACTCATTTCTGCAAAACCCATGAACAACCTGATCCTAGCATATCAATTTACAACTGGACCTCTACTTTAAAAAATTAAAATTAAAAAAAAATCATACAGGACATTCCAAGGAAAAGAGAATATATGTTCTCAGACCCTTTTAAACCGACTGAGAAGCGGTGCATAGAGGTATGTGCACGGGTGTTCATGGTCCTGGCATCCTGCTTGGCCTAGGATCTTGCTAATACAACCAAGCTCTTTACCTAATGGCTCAGTTTGAGAGTTAGTAACTGTGTTATACTCAGAAGCTTAATTGAGAAAAAAAAATCTGTCTGGTAGATGGAGACACTTGATATCTTGTCCATAACTTGCTGTGATGTCTGTACCCACTCATAAATTCTCCAGGTATGTATGTGGAAGGCTTTCCAGATATGGACTAATAATAACGCTCTCACTTACATGCTTACTGCCTGCAGCCTCAAGTGACAGCATGGGAAAGAGTAGGGTAAGGATGATAGGTTGTGCTAGCTGAACACAGCATTAGTGGTCACTATAGGTCAGGCCTAGCAACAAGGGTGTTCATGCATTTTCTCAGTGACCCTTTCCACAAGTTGTGGAAACTCCCCCAACTAAGGGAGACAAAGCTATGGAAATTCCCAAGGTCTGGGGTACTATCTTTTAGCAGTTAGAATGGAAGGCGTAGGTAGCTTTCAAAAAATCCATCTCCTGTGACTGTTGACAGTGGGGCCCTGGCTGAATCCTTGCTTGCCCTGGCTTGAAGTAAGAACTAGAAGAAAGAAAATGAGTCAACCCAGTACCAAATGACGGTCTGAGTAAAGGCCAAGACCTCCAGGTAGAAGTGATCAGAATCTTTTCAAGGTGTCCAAAGTTTTCATTTGATGATAGCATAAGAAGAACTGGTCAGTGGGTATTGTACTGGGTACCACTTTGCCAGATTCAAAGGTGTGTATAAAACTGGTTTAAAACTGGATGGGCAAGGGTTGCTGGATAGTGTGGTAGAGGAGCTCAAGAACAGTTACAAAAAGTGTCCAAGGGAGCATGGTGATTGAGAAGCAAAAAGCTTATTAATAAATCAAAGTGGAAAGGCAAAAAGGAGTTGGAAAACCAGGGAAGGCAAGAGAAAAGTCTATCAGATGGAAGCCAGCAAACCTACATTGGAGTCAGAGGCTCTGTGCACCGGGGGATGACCAGTTCTGAGAACCATCAGCCCAGGTAGAGTGAGAAGGGAACCTAAACCAGAACACAGCCGGGTGCTTAACTGCTGAGTTGTGATGGATGTGTTGCCTTGGAAAAGGACCCTCTCTCCACACAGGACCCAAATCTCTGCTTGATGTGCAATAAAAAGTCAGATCTTCTTCACACTAAAAGTAGAGATTCAAAGATCCACAGAAACAAGAGGGACTTAGTTAGTGGGTTTTCCAACCGGCCCTTCTACCCAGCCTCAACTTCTTCCTTCCAGAACTCTTATCCCGGGCTTCCCTGGTAACGCAGTGGTTGAGAGTCCGCCTGCCAATGCAGAGGACACGGTTTTGTGCACCGGTCCAGGAAGATCCCACATGCCGCAGAGTGGCTGGGCCCATGAGCCATGGCCGCTGAGCCTGCGCGTCCGGAGCCTGTGCTCCGCAACGGGAGAGGCCACAACAGTGAGAGGCCCGCGTGGGGGGGGTGGGGGAAGGACCCTGGTCCAGGAAGATCCCACATGCCACGGAGCAACTAAGCCGGTGTGCCACAACTACTGAAGCCCGCGTGCCTAGATCCCATGCTCCGCAGCAAGAGAAGCCACCACAATGAGAAGCCCGCGCACCCCAACAAAGAGTAGCCCCTGCTCGCCATAACTAGAGAAAGCCTGTGTGCAGCAACGAAGACCCAATGCAGCAAAAAATAAGTAAATTAAAAAATAATAATAATAATATTTTTTAAAAAAGGAGGAGAGGTCAACAACATTCAGTGATGTGTAAGATCAGGTAGCATAGCAAATGAGAAGATGGCTGTGAACAGGTGACTGGTTCTGTTTGAAAGAGCCATTTACAGGAGAGTGACTGGATGAAAATGGGATTGCAGGGGATTGAGTGAGTGTGAGTATATATGGACTACTTTTTCAAAAACTTGCCTCTAAAGGAAAGAAAAACCAGATACTATTTAGTAAGCACTTTTTACCAGGTACTGCAAGACCTCCTCAATCATCCTCCCCTAAAACCACAAGGTTAATATTATATTCACAGGCAAGGAAAGTGAGCCTGCTGGCAAAGTTAGGATTTAAACCCCAGATCTTTCCATTACTCCATGTGGCTTCTAATTAGACATGAAAGACTGGAATTCCAGAGGGAACATTCCAGAATTCCAAAGTTATAATTGCGAAGAGAGCAGAGGAGAAGGAGCAGGTAACCGTGCCTGTGAATGTCAAAGAAGCTTTCACAAAGAAGAGGACAGATGAACTGATCCTAAAGGTAAAGGGGAAGGCGCTTGCCAAGAGGATGTGTTTCAGGGAGTTAGAAGAGAGGGCTGGGCTACCTCTAGAGGAGGAAAAGCATACTTGAGTGAGCCAAGCATTTTGAAAGAACAGTATGGGGCTTCCCTGGTGGTGCAGTGGTTGAGAGTCTGCCTGCTAATGCAGGGGACACAGGTTCGAGCCCTGGTCTGGGAGGATCCCACATGCCGCGGAGCAACTGGGCCCGTGAGCCACAACTGCTGAGCCTGCGCGTCTGGAGCCTGTGCTCCGCAACAAGAGAGGCCGCGATAATGAGAGGCCCGCGCACCACGATGAAGAGTGGCCCCCGCTTGCCGCAACTAGAGAAAGCCCTCGCACAGAAACGAAGACCCAACACAGGAAAAATAAATAGATTAATTAATAAACTCCTACCCCCAACATCTTCTTTAAAAAAAAAAAAAAGAAACAACAGTATGATTTACTGTCGCTGAGAAGCAGGGAGCATGTGGATGGATGGTGGGAAGAAAGCATGCAAAGAAGACAGAAGTCAGGTCATTTAGACTATATATCATGCTTAGGAATTTCAGTTTT